TATAACCACAAATGCACCACACGGGACTACATCGGAGTATTCCACATGTGGAGCAGAAGCCATAAAGAGAATAACAGTGGTAAAAGCGTTTACGAGCAACCATGTAATAGTTGTTATTGTAGTTAGTAAACCCCTTTATGAGGTAGTTACGATGACTAAGCCATACAGAGTATCGTCTATATTGACTGACACCTTTATTGTACTTGTGTGTTGGAAGTGAGTATATTCTGGCCAACTCACTCACAAGTGTTTGTGTGCATTCTTCGCTACTTCCAAGTAATAGCAGCATTACCGCCGTTTGATACTTGCGAATAGCGAAGTAGACGTTGTCAGTTTGAGTTGGCTTTACGTTGGTGATTTCTTCGTAAGGAATCCATTCAAGTTGAGCGCAACAGGATTGGATCAAGTTGCCAATGACTGGATTATTAACAGCCTCTGGTGCTAACGACATAGTAATAGATTGAATTCAAGAATTCAAAGTTCGAAACGTTCCTTCTTCAACACTTGTGTTACATCGCACAAATCAGCGCAGCCACGCAGTCGGGAACAATGCAACTTTCGTTGATAAAAAAGAGGTTGTGACTGTATAGAGAGTTGTTTCTATAAGTTTCATAGTAATTAGTTCTCAAAATGGTGTTCTAATACAGAGGTTTTTATATGATGTGCTTATAGAGAAGGTGACTATAAAGAGGGTCGATTGTACTTATAGACTTTGAATGTGGGGTAACGATTAAGCGGCTGGTTGGGGAAATTGATAGAAATATTATTATGCGTTCAAATGCCAATTTCAGATAACGCAAAGGCTTTTGTAATGTGATAAAGTTGAAGGAGAAAAAAAATGAATGCTAAACAATTGTTTCAAACTTTCAATAATGTAGAGTTGGGTGTTTTTCGTAATCGACTTTTTACTAAGATCAGGCTGTAGCATAATGACACACTGATATTAGATTGTCGTTTGTGAATAAAACTTGCACATTTAGAATCTTTGTTCAAACGCTACAGTAAATTTGAAAAATATATATATATATAGAATCACCAGTATATAAAAAACAACGAATAGAACGGTTTTTGTAATGCGAAAAACGATAAAGTTTTTGAAAATAGGTTACAATGTGGTTTGCTCAACAAAGATTCGGAGAGAAAGGTTTGCTCAACAAAGATTCGGAGAGAAAGGTTTGCTGAATTACGTGAGGCGTTTCAAGCTCTTTCTAGGTCCAAACAAGACACATATTTAATAACCCAGTCAAAAGCAACGAATAGTGGAGAAATAACTGCCAGCCGATGTCCTAAAAAATGCGTACTAATAAAAAAACTTTTTATTATTGAGATTGCGATACGCCGTTTTGTCATTATTATGGCCGCACTTATTCCGAAAAGGTTAGAATTGTCTGGCAACGAATAGTATAATTTCTCGTGTTTATGGTAATGTAAAAAAAGTAACACGATGAAAAACCAAAATAACCATTAATATAACTGTTGCTACCGCTGTAAAAAATTTTTGAGAATTACATCGAAATGCATGGATTACCCAGTTTCGGTAGAAACGCCAACCGAATTGCTTAATCACCTACACTTTTGCCAGCCGAAACAAGTTACAAGTCAGTCTATCGTAATTTTATCGCAGATCTTGAAAATGGTAACACTTTAGAATTGTTAAAATCTCTACATTTCGCAAGTTATTATTATGGCATTAATTAACACCTTATCTCCAAATCATTAGTCCAAGAATCGGATTATGTGACACATGCCAACAGTTTCGGAACCACCTACAGTATAATGCTCGTAAAGAAAAAAACCAAAAATTTTAAAAAGAACATTTACTTAGTCAAAGGCCAAATTAGAGAGAGAAAGTATAACCACGAAAACATGAAATTAATAGAACAGGAGATGATAATTACGCTGTAAAGCTAATTATTGTAGCGTTGACACTACTGTTCATTACAGTTACGATTGAGCACAAAACGTTTACGTACCTCATTTTGATCAACAGATAAGTAAAATTTATTATCTCAGTCCACGTAAGTACCTTTATTTGCATATTCAAAATGAAGCAGTACGCGAACGAATTAACTACCTTAAGTTCTCGATAAAGACAAAATTATCAACAAAGGTCCTAATGGTACACTGGGGATGGTATTCGATGGAATTAAAAAGCTGAATAAAGGTGTAAAATTATTTAAAGATAATTCGTGATAATGCGTGAGGACAATAGAAACGCCACGATTTGATTTTACTTATATCTAGCAAGTTGCAGTTATTGTGAAGTATCAAGTCAAAATTCATAATGCCTAGACGCATTATATTTAAGCGATGGTAGTTTAAGATTAATTAAGAAACTAAAAAAAAAACGCAAAACAACGATAGATTGCGTGAATCATATTTGCGATCGGCAATGCGTGGAGGAAGGGGGAAGGTCTGAAACATTTTGCAACAGTTTAACTAGAAATTGGAGTAATCATAAGGTGTGCATACTTTCACAAATGAAAAGATTAGAGAGGCAAACTCATTATCCTCGTTATTAAATACAAACTCAAAAAGAATTGTCCATTCGTAATATGTACATCGTGTCTCTATATAACTGAAACTACGTTACTCGATTAAAAAAAGTAAGCGCCAGCCGACAAAGAATATATTAGTGCGTTGCTTATAATTAATAACCTAACCTAAATATCTGACTAGTCATGCTCTATATCTAAAAAGACTGCAAATTCGTTTTTGCGCACTTGTAATAATTTTTCCACTATATCTGCAATTCTGGAACTTTCCGTCTCTTCATCTAGACTAGCTGACAACGATGTGAGAAAGCCTTGTAATATTTTGCGAACTTCTTTACGATAAGCATCTTCTTTCCCATTATATTGATCTCTTACTATCCCTTTTAATCTTTCCAACTCTTCTTGCTCTTTTCTTTCAATCTTTCCTCTTTCCATTTCCTCGTTTCCTCGTCTTTTCTCCTCTCGTTCTTTTTCTTTCAGACTTCTTTTTCTACGTTTCTCGATGGCATCGGGACTTGCATAGTAATATATCAAGGACGGAAAGTAATCCTTTCGTTTTCTTTGCTTTGATGTAAACCAGTACATTTCAATCTCAACGATAACCTACATGATACATCATCGACGACTAATTAACAGGCTATTAATTATCTAAATTAAACTATTTTGAATATATCTTCTTGCTTTACCTCTGCCCTTTGTTTAAGCCAAGCGTTTCTAGCAACGGTCCTAGAATCATCCACAACGTTGGTCATCAAAGCAACCAAAACTGTCCACATATACACACTGATTACTGAAAACGCAACCGTAAATATTGCAATGGTCGAATCTCCAAAAGCATCGCTGAGTGATCCAAGATTATTAGTCTATTCAAAAAATATTAATAATAATCAATAAATACTACAAGAGCTGTCTTAATAATAATAACAAATTCAATGCTTTACCACGAAGAAATAAGTGGAAAGTAACCCTCGTTGGAAAGTAGAATATTCTTGTGCCGCTGCATTGTTATCGTCTAATGTATTCTTAACTTCCGTATTAGCCAATAATATCCAGTAAGTGTGTGTATACGCGAGCACCATTATTCCCATTGCGAGAACAAAACGGTATACATTCGACACTATCTCAATTATAATAAAAATCGCTATTCCAAGCTTTTCGAAAATTCGCAACTTTAAAATCTATCGATACAGTACTGCGTTAGATTTCTAATCAGTAAGTTATGCTTATACTAAAAAAAAAACTTACCAAATTTAGATAGACAAAAAACATGGATGCTCCAATGTATGAAGATTGAAATGAACCATCTCCCACGAGTGAATTAATTGCGTATGCAATAGGCATCACTAAACTTACAAGATCTACTAAATTATAAATATTACAGATATAATAATACGGTTTATGCAGTATCTGCCTTGTTTCCGAGCTCAAAAACACAGCACCTAACCCTAAAACTAAAAATATAAACACTTTTGTTGCAATGTTTTTATATTTGTCATCTAGTTGTACCCTACCAGCATCTACCGTAATCACAAACATAAATGAAGCAAGATACAATATATATAAAACAATTAAAAAATAAGCATATCTCCTAGCAAACTGCCTCCATTTGAAATTAATTATCGCCTCCATGCTACGTTCTCCAAATAAATCAATACGACCACAGAATACTGCATCGGCAAACCGGGAACAGCATTCTTTTCCTTTATAAACAAGGTCATAAAAAGCAAAATTCGGATATTCGGTAAAGCCTGGGAGCGGAACCACACATATAGTACGTGGATTGGTACCGTTCTTTTTTATCAATAAAAAATTAAAATGTCAGCGCTAATAGATAAGCGGCAAAAACAGCCTGTAGCATAACTTTTTTTCTTTACCTTATGCGCCTCATTGATTTCGTCTGTTCTCCTTGGCGCGCTCATTTCGTGTATTTCATCTGTCTCACAGATAAATGCATGCAAATCCTTTTGGTTTCTCCATATCGTTTGCTCGGACAAAGTAAAAGGCAAATCGCTAACAGATTTCATTAATTCCGAGGTCGAGTCTGGGTATTTCGAAACCAGTTTCTTAAATACAGGGACGACGGTCTGCATCCAAAATTCCGGCTTTGCTTCTGCTTTCTCCTCGGTCCTACGGCAGTAGTACTTCAACAACAGGCGAACGACTTTTGCTTTTCCTTTCAATAAAGCACACGAGAGAGCCGATTCTTTGTTTTCGTAAGCCAGCGGAATATAAACGTCCTTTTGTAATAGTGCTTCTAACATTGAATCTGCAAATGCGCTATCCAGATCAATCAATAAATGTACCATAGATCTATCGTCTACGTTCGCATTAAAAATTTCTGCGCTGGTGCGGATGGTGCTGTACACGATCTTTTCGCATTGCTTTAATAGCGTGGAGAAAAGCAATCCGTGGCTCGGGCCGATTTGACGTTCGACATGGTCTTTGCGTTCCAGAAATTTACGGGCATACAACGCATGTAAGGTTGTTTCGAATTTGGTTGGACGCAGCGACAATTCCTTTTTTTCGGAATTACATAGAAATTTGAGAATATTCCTATCTTTGTCTAGTGAAGGCTCGTCAAGACTGTAATTTCCTGCAGGCATTGGTTTACACCAAATATATTCTAAGCTTGGTTTTGTTGACGTAAAGTTCCACACATGTATTGTTTGTTTGCCAAAAAGAAGTGCTCGTTTGTTGTCATCGTCTAGTAGAAATATTGTTGTAGTTCGCTGTTGCGGAAGGTACCATGGTTCGACCATAAACTCAACAATCTCCCGCAATTTGTTCTGATTTTCGCCAGTAATCTGCACCTTGTTTGTTTCATAAAGCGTTGTGCCATCGTATTTGCACAATTTTGTCGTGCCTTCCAGCCGCTTTGCACCTTGGTTGAATGAACCCTCTGGCTTTGTTTCTATTAACTTCATGATCCTTGGACTTTCCTCACAGTTGGCGTAAACATCTTCTCCTGTAGATTTAAAGATGGGCATCTTTCCAAAACCGCTGTATTCACTGATGAGGTCGTATGTGTAAATGTCCCATTTCGTTCCGCCGAGGTCATCGACAATCATTACATGTTTGTTCCCAATCCACACTAACTGCTTCACTGATTTATTACGATCACCTAACGCCAAATGATTTTTGGGGGCCATCGAAGACGAGAACAAGATACCGTCTTCACATAAAAAGACAGCAAGCATTTCGGTTGGAGTCCAGGTTGCAAGCATTTTTCTGTTAGGAGAGAGGGCAAATATGGTTTGCCTTCCATCGACGTCTACAAAATGATTGCTTTCACAACGGGCCAACAACTTGCATTCCGGTATAGACCAGAATGATAGGACGTTCCACTAGAAATAAATGTGATTGAAAGTAAATACATTTGTGTAGACTATAAATATAGCAATACTTTTGCTTTACTTACTTTATCGACGCTCACAAAAAGCTCACCATATAATGAACTTTTTACGGATTCAACTTGTGTCCAAGGATGCGATGCAGTTAGTAGATCATTGACATATACGCCTATGTTCATTTTTTGAATCATTTGCCAATTGCTTGTTGAATAGACATAAAGATATTGTCTCTTCACATCAGCAACTACACTGCACGAAAGAAAGTTGGTACTATCGGTCGAGAACCTAATAGCTCCTTTCAAGTCCTTAAATTGTGGACAAGTGTTGTCGACATCGATTACGCAATTATTGTTTGCCATTCCCGTTATAATGTCGTTTTTCGTCGTGTTTACTATAAAAGTATAAAATGTGGTCGGAATTCCGGACTTCGACTTTTTAAGTGTAAATGGCTCAGGTTCTTCCACTTTATTTTCTTGAGGAAGCTGGATAATACTTAAAGCAACGAATTGCCCTGTTAGTGAAAGCAATTTATATACATTGGTTTATTAGTTGATTTGATTTTTTTGTTTATACAGTAGCATGTACCACTTAAGAATTGTTCTTGTTTACCGCCATTGGATAACGCAAAATCAACGTTCGTCATTTTTTGTGTAGCAGCAGAAGACGGATTAAAACTTTTTCTAGTTTTGAAATATTCTCTTGACTTTAACAAGGTTTCACCCTTGTTTTGCCATATTTGTTTTGTATTCATGTTTTCATCTGTCTCGTATATTGTGATTAATCCTTCTGATGAGTACGTGGCTAGATGTTTTCCGTCTGGTGAAAACGTGCAGGCGTCTACCTTTTCAGGTTGCTTTCCCCCCACTTTAACTACGTGATTGTGTGTCTGTGGGTAATTTGATTCTTCGCACATGATAGAATATGATTATTAGTCGTAGTTGTGAGAGCCTGAATAAGGGAAAAGGCCTGTATTATATATACATCACACAATGGTAATAACGCAGTATTCGATTTAAATTGTTAAAATGACGGAAACTAATCTTCGAGTAAAAGAAAGAACAATCATATGTTACTTTGTTGTTTAGTCTTATGGCAATAACAATATTAACTGAATAGCCTACTTACCGCAGTCATGACCTTCCTTTGATGTTTTCCCAATTGAGCAGTGTTGTGGTGTAACAACATTGTACTTGTGGGAAAACAAATAAGTCAAATGATTATCTTGTCAAAATCAGGGGTAAAAGTATTTTTTGATCATCTTGATAACATGTTCAGGAGTTATTTCCAGTAAATTTCCTTTTCGGCGTGAACATTACGTAGCGATGACTGAATAACTGATCAGCTTAACCCGTTTTGTTCTAACATAGATGTAATTCTCTTTGTGTGTACAACGTTCTCATCACTAATTGGCGTTTACCGCTTGCATATATTCTTCCGCACAATCTTTGCTTTCAATTTTTTTTTTGATGTAACATAATAAGCCTTGCGCTTATTGTTGCGCCTGCTTTGGTTTTTCAACTCACCGTTATGCGTGTTTTTTTTTAATGAGTGAATCTTCGGAATAGCCCGTACATGTGAGTCGTCGGTCGGTTGTTCCCGATGGCGTATGGCGGTGGCGTAGCCACACATTCTATACAACATCACTGCGGGAGGCAAGCATCAGTCTGCTGACAAGCATCAACTCAGTTTATTATCCAATTTAAAGCCTAATATTTTTTTGCAAGTTGACTTATCAAGAGAAACGCCAAGTAGCATAAGGTGTTCATTGCGGGTGACTGGTCTATATATTTGTCTGCGCTCTCGAATATAACTTCAATCTTGATTGTTCTATTCATCTTCAATACGAGAAGTCTCGTATTTACATTCGTGCTGGTTCTATGAATCGTTTCCGACTAAATTTACTTGGATTTGTACATCTATTTCGGATGATGGTGAGGACGAAAAGGGGAGTAAATCTTTGGGGTCGTTTGCGGTTTTTTCAGTAGTTTGTTTGCCAGTTAGTAGTATTCTGGCTAGCTTTCTTAGTTTATAAGTGCTGTAAAATTTTCAGAAGCCGAAAGATTAGAAGAAAAATAAATGATATTAAACATATACATCAAATTCGGAAAGTCTGAACAAATTTTGAAGCAATCAAAGCGGAGCGGCTTTTTACTAAACAATAAGTTATGATAGCAGAACGAAAAGGATGAAGCGTTAGAAAGTCTAACCAAGTACAGGTTACGGGGCGTAGAAATGATAAAGTTGGTATTATTGCAATAAGTTGTAATAAAAAAACAATAAGTTATGACCGTGAAATTCTAAAAGGAAATGCTGTAAAGTACTTTGTACAGTAGTCTTGGCGTGGTTGAAGATGTTGAATAATAAACAAATATATCTGCAGCCGATCGATTATTTTCAGTCTGAGTAAGGAAATCAGTATGCAACCAGTATTCTATAATTAGACTGTTATGATAATGAAAGAAAAAATTTTTTTGTTCAACATAACCCCTACGCTTTTGACGATTATGTAGGTAACAATACGTACTGTATATTATCAAATCTGCGTTGCTGAGTCGAATATATCTCGTGATTTACCTTGCTTGTTACCATTACTCATAACAATAATTTGTAAATAGTTGAGCAAAACACTGAATTTTACAACACATTTGTAAAACAACACTTTGATAAATATTTGTCGTGAAATGCCGAGCATATTATCGAATAGACCTTAAACAATGTCCGAATATGGCCCGGTTGGTAATATTAGAAAGGATTATTTTAATATTTACTTTATTAATGAGCACTTTTTGAATATATTTCTATCTGTAAATTGCAAGTTTTGCATTATAATAATAAGCAAAGCCCCAAAAAATTTAGTTACATATAAATAAACCTCAAAATAAAATTGTTTCTTTGTAATATGTACGGTAAGCAGGCACAAACCAACAGAAAATTTATTGAAAACATTGGTGACTCCTGATCTAAATACACGTATCTACTTGCTCTCTATATCTAAAATTTATCTCGCAGTAATAATATTGACTCGACTATTTCTTTTAATGTTTCTGACTCTTCTTCTTTTCTTTTTATCTTCCCTCTTTTCAGTTTGCTCCCTCATCTCTTCTCCTCTCGTTCTTTCTCCTCCAGGCTTCTTTCCTCTTTCCATTTCCTCGTTTACTCGTCTCTTCTCTTCTCGTCTTTTCTCTTCCAGGCTTCTTTCTCTACGCTTTTCGATGGCGTCGGGACATGCATAGTAATAGATCAATGACGGAAAGTAATCTTTTCGTTTTCTTTGCTTTGACGTAAACCAGTACATTTCAATCTCAACAATAACCTATATGATACGTTATCAATGATTAATTAACGGGATTATTAATTTGCTTAAATCATCTGAATTGAACTATCCTGAAATATATCTTCTTGTTTTACCTCTGCCCTTTGTTTAAGCCAAGCGTGTCTAGCAAAGGTCCTAGAATCATCCACAACGTTGGTCATCAAAGCAACCAAAACTGTCCACATATACACGCTGATTACTGAAAACGCAACCGTAAATATTGCAATGGTCGAATCTCCAAAAGCATCGCTAAGTGACCCAAGATTATTAGTCTATTCAAAAAGTATTAATAATAATTAATAAAAACTACAAAAATTGTCTCAATAACAATAAATTTATTGCTTACCACAAAGAAATAAGTGGAAAGTAACCCTCGTTGGAAAGTAGAATATTCTTGTGCCGCTGCATTGTTACCATCTAATGTATTCTTAACTTCCGTGTTAGCCAATAATATCCAGTAAGTGTGTGTGTACGCGAGCACCATTATTGCCATCGCGAGGACAAAACGGTATACATTCGATATTATCTCAATTATAATAAAAATCGCTATTCCAAGCTTTTCGAAAATTCGCAACTTTAAAATCTATCGATACAGTACTGCGTTAGATTTCTAATCAGTAAGTTATGCTTATACTAAAAAAAAAACTTACCAAATTTAGATAGACAAAAAACATGGATGCTCCAATGTATGAAGATTGAAATGAACCATCTCCCACGAGTGAATTAATTGCGTATGCAATAGGCATCACTAAACTTACAAGATCTACTAAATTATAAATATTACAGATATAATAATACGGTTTATGCAGTATCTGCCTTGTTTCCGAGCTCAAAAACACAGCACCTAACCCTAAAACTAAAAATATAAACACTTTTGTTGCAATGTTTTTATATTTGTCATCTAGTTGTACCCTCCCAGCATCTATCGTAACCATAAACATGAATGAAACAAGATACAATATATATAAAAAAATTAAAAAATAAGCATATCCCTTAGCAAACTGCCTCCATTTGAAATTAATTATCGCCTCCGTGATACGCTCTCCAAATAGGTCAATACGACCATAAAATACTGCATCAGCAAAACGGGAACAGCATTCTTTTCCTTTGTAAACGAGGTCATAAAAAGCAAAATCCGGATATTCGGTAAAGCCTGGGAGCGGAACCACACATATAGTGCGCCGATTGGTACCGTTCTTTTTTATCAATAAAAAATTAAAATGTCAGCGCTAATAGATAACCGACAAAAACGGTAATATATGTTGCCTGTAGCATAAAATTTTTTTTCTTTACCTTATGCGCTTCATCGATTTCGTCTGCTCTCCTTGGCGCGCTCATCTCGTGTATTTCATTTGTCTCACAGCTAAATGCATGCAAATCTTTTTGGTTTCTCCATATCGTTTGCTCGGACAAAGGCAAATCGCTAACAGATTTCATTAATTCCGAGGCCGAGTCCGGATATTTCGAAACCAGTTTCTTAAATACAGGAACGACGGTCTGCATCCAAAATTCCGGCTTTTCTTCTGCTTTCTCCTCGGTTCTACGGCAGTAGTACTTCAACAACAGACGAACAACTTTTGCTTTTCCTTTCGATAAAGCACATAAGAGAGCAGATTCTTTGTTTTTGTAAAACAGCGGAATATAAACGTCCTTTTGTAATAGTGCTTCTAGCATTGAATCTGCAAATGCGCTATCCAGATCAATCAATAAATGTACCATAGATCTATCGCCTACGCTCGCATTAAAAATTTCAGCGTTGGTGCGGATGGTGCTGTAGACAATCTCTTCACATTGCTTTAACAGCTCGGAAATTTGACCCTCGTGGCTCGGGTTATTATTATGGGCTTTGAATTCCAGAAATTTACGAGCATACAACGCATGTAAGGTTGTTTTAAATCTGGTTGGACACAATGACAATTCCTGCCTTTTACTAGAATTTCCGTTTTCGAAATTACATCGAAATTTGAGAATATACCTTCCTTTCTCGTTTATGCCTAGTGAAGGTTCGTCAATACTGTAATTTGCTGCAGGCATTGGTTTGCACCAAATGTATTCTAAGCTTGGTGGTTCTTTTGACGTAAAGTTCCATACAGTTATTGTTTGTTTGCCGAAAAAAAGTGCTCGTTCATTGTTATCGTCTAGCAGAAATATTGTTGCGGTTCGATGTTGCGGAAAGTACCATGGCTCTATCATATTCTTAAGAATTTTATGCAACATGTATTGATTTTCGCCAATAACATGCATTTTGCCTGTTTCATAAAACGTTGTGCCATCATATTTACACATTTTTGTCGTTCCTTCTGACCGCTTTGCACCTTGGTTGAATGAATTCTTTGGTTTTGTTTCCTTTAACTTCTTGATCTTCGGCCATCCATCACAGTTAGCGTAAACGTCTTCTCCTGTAGATTTGAAGATGGGCATCTTTCCAAAACCGCTGTATTCACTGATGAGGTCGTATGTGTAAATGTCCCATTTCGTTCCGCCGAGATCATCGACAATCATTACATGTTTGTTCCCAATCCACACTAACTGCTTCACTGATTTATTACGACTACCACCTAACGCCAAATGATTTTTGGGGGCCATCGAAGACGAGAATAAGATACCTTCTTCACATAAAAAGACAGCAAGTATTTCATCTGGAGTCCAGGTTGCAAGCATTTTCCTGTTAGGAGAGAGGGCAAAGATGGTTTGCCTTCCATCGACGTCTACAGAAAGACGGCTTTGGCAACGGGTCACCAGCTTGCATTCCGGTATAGACCAAAACGATAGAACGTTCGACTGGAAATAAATGTGATTGGAAGTAAATACACTTGTGCAATTATAAATATACCAATACTCTAGCTTTACTTACTTTATCGACGCTCACAAAAAGCTCACCATATAATGAACTTTTTACGGATTCAACTTGGGTCCAAGGATGCGATGCAGTTAGTAGATCATTGACATATACGCTTATGTTCATTTTTTGAATCATTTGCCAATTGCTTGTTGAATAGACATAAAGATATTGTCTTTCCGCATCAGCAACTACACTGCACGAAAGAAAGTTGGTACTATCGGTCGAGAACCTAATGGCTCCTTTCAGGTCCTTAAATTGTGGACAAGTGTTGTCGACATCGATTACGCAATCATTACTTTTCCCCCCCGTTATGATGTCGTTTATCGTCGTGTTGACTATAAAAGTATAAAACGTAGTCGACCTCGAATTTTCAAGTGTAAATGGCTCAGGTTCCATTTTATTTTCTTGAGGAAGCTGGATGATACTTAAAGCAACGAATTGCCCTGTTAGTGAAAGGCAATTCATATACATCGGTTTATTTAGTTGATCAATATCGATTTAAGTTTTTTGTTTATAAACAAGTATCGCTATAAGAATTAGTTTTGTTTACCTCCATTGGATAACGCAAAGTCAACGTTCGTCATTTTTTGTGTAGCGGCGGAAGACGGATTAAAACTTTTTCTTTTTTTGAAATATTTTCTTGACTTTAACAAGGTTTTACCCCCGTTTTGCCATATTTGTTTTGTATTCATTTTTTTATCTGTCTCGTATATTGTGATTAATCCATCTGATGAGTACGTGGCTAGATGTTTTCCGTCTGGTGAAAACGTGCAGGCGTCTACCTTTTCGGGCCGCTTATTTTCCATATTAAATAAATAACTGTCTGCTAGAATGTGACTAATTATTGGAGTTTGAATAAGAGAGAAAGCCTGTATTTATATACATGTAAGGCCCTTAATCATGCGACACTGATAACGCAGTACAGTTGGTAGCGCAGCGAAAGTAACGAAAACTAGCTTTTGAGTAAAAATAAAAATTATGTGTTACTTTATTGTACGCATTTACGAGACATGACCTCAATATTCGATGTTAACTGACGTTGCTTACCATAGTCGCGATTGAGCTATAAATAAAACCTATTTCTATTCAGAACTACCAAGGTATCGTCCCTTTGACATTTTTCCAAATCGAGTGTGGTGTTACAAACAAATGAAAACAAATAAGTCAGATGATTACGTTATTTATTGCGCAATTAGGCAATCGGTGTAAGAGTAATTTTTTGATATTAATATCAATAGATCATCTTGATAACGTTACTCCGGGCAAATGTCCTTTTTCGATGTAAACATTACGTAGCAAGCTGATAATTGATCAGCCGATTCACTCGTTTGTTCCAACAAATATGTAATTCTCTTCAGCATATGGACTCTTATCTTTGTGTGCACAACGTTCTTATCGCTAATTGTATATGCATGGTGTTCTATCGCCTGCATCTGTTTTTCCGCGCAATCTTTCTCAAAATTTTTTTGATGTAACATAAATTTAATCAGATATATCAAATTCGGAAAGTCTAGCAGAATTTTTGAAGTGGTTCAAAGCGACTTTTACTAAACAAACATTGTATAAGGTTTGAATATCAACATAATAGTAGAACGAAAAGGATGAAGCGTTAGAGAGTCTGAGTTATGAGGCGTAGAAATGATAATGGCTTGTGTTACTGCAACAAGTTTCGATAAAGAAGGTATTAAGTTATGGCCATGGAATTCCGGAAGGAAAATGCGTGGCGTACTTTAAGTTTGGCAGATGAATGCGTGGTAGATAGTAGATAATGAATGGACGTCTAAATAACGTATCTGCAGTCGATTCATTTTCAGTCCGAGTAAGGAAATCGGCATACAAAAATCGGCATACAAAAATCGGTGTACAAAATCGGTGTACAAAATCGGTATACTAAACGTCTATTAATAATCACTATTCTATAATTAAACTGCTACCATCAGTGGGACTAATGAGCACAGTTGTTTATGACTCGTATGCTTCCAACGCTTTTGATGATTAAGTTTATGTTGATTTTTGGGGTAGGTGGAAATTATAAGACAAATAATAGTGGCGGACAACACGATTTATAAATTTATATATAAAAAAAGAACCGTTAAGTATCATATAATGGAAACTTTTTTGATACTGGTTTTTATTTTATCTTCTGTATTGATATGTTCTGTCCCATTAGCCCAGGTTGAGTGTCATTGGTCCATCTTGTTTACCCCCTCGAAATTTATCACCTAATTTTTTCCAATAGCGTCCTTAATATTACGTAAACATTGAAATATAATAAAGTTCTGGAAACTGGGTATCATCACCGTTTTTGACTGTGTTTTTGAGGTGTTAGATAGATGTTGCTTAGCAGGCGAAATGGAAACAGTGAGTGCAGAGTTTCCAGAACTTGAATAAATTCCCGAGACGCGAATATCACTTACGGGGCTTCTGATTATAGAGGTCTGCTGCTGTCAATGCAAGTCTGGCTACGTAACTAACAGGTGTCACTTGTAGCTTTCGTTGTCACTGTTCAATATTTTGCAATAACTCATATTAATATTATTATAGTACCGGAAAAAGTCAGGTGATAGATTTCGAGGATGACAATGGGACAGAACATATATTTGCTAAATTAATTAACTGTTCACTGGAATAGCATTTTATTCCTGGATTTTTCTATTAGTGTTAAAAGTACAGTTCCATCGGATATCATCTCAAGTAAACCATTTGCAAAATATAAAACAATTTATAGAATATGGTCATGTAAAGCTCATAAACACATCTATTAGTCATTACGTATGACTACCTGCAGCCGCGCCAAGTTTTACGCCAATGTCATTCGTGTGTCTGCCAGGTGCATTGAATAGACATAAAGATATTGTCTTTCCGCATCAGCGACTACACTGCACGAAAGAAAGTTGGTACTATCGGTCGAGAACTTAATAGCTCTTTTCAGGTCTTTGAATTGTGGATAATTGTTGTCGACATCGATTACACAATCGTTGTTTGCTACTCCCGTTATAATATCGTTTTTATCGTGTTGACTACAAAAGTATAAAATGTAGTCAACCTCGAATCTTCAAGTGTAAATGGCTCAAGTTTTTTCATATTATTTTTTTGGATAATACTCAAAACAACGAATTGCCCTGTTAGTGAATGCCAATTTATATACATAGGTTTATTTAATTAATTAATATATCGCCTTAAGTTTTTGTTTATAAACAAGTATTACTACAAGAATTGTTCTTGTTTACCGCCATTGGATAACGCAAAGTCAATATTTGTTATTTTTTGTGTAGCAGTGAAAGACGGATTAAAACTTTTTCTTTTTTTGAAATATTTTCTTGACTTTAACAAAGTTTTACCCCCGTTTTGCCATACTTGTTTTGTATTCATGTTTTCATTTGTCTTGTATATTGTGATTAATCCATCTGATGAGTACGTGGCTAGATGTTTTCCGTCTGGGGAAAATGTACAGGCATCTATCTTTTCAGGCTGCTTTGTTCCCATCTTAACTAAGCAACCGTCTGCTAGAATGTGACTATAAATTGGAGCTTGAATAAGAGGGAAAGCCTGTATTTATATACGTGTAAGACCATTTAATCACGCGACACTAATAACGAAGTATCTGTACAGTTTATAGCACAGAAACTAATTTCGAGTAAAAATAAAAGTTATGTCCTCACGGCACATGACCTTGATATTTTTAACTGACGTAGTTGCGATTGAGCTATAAATAAACTACTCAGAATTACTAGCTTTTGACGTTTTTCCCAATTGAGAATGTGATGTAACAAACAAAGTTTATTCAGTGAAAACCAAATAAGTCAGATAATTACCTCGTACTACAAATAATATTAATTTTTGACATCTTTTGGATCAACTATCCCAGAAGTCCAGTATTCACATGATATGTATTACGCTTTTGCGATCTATCATTAGTCAAAGCGCAATGATGTTATCAGTGCAAAAAAGTACCGAGACTTTTGGGGTAGTTGTATGGACTCTTATATTTGTGTGTGTAACAACGTTCTTATCACTAATTGGTTTTATCGCCCGCATCTATTATTTTCGCACAATTTTTTTTTCTTCTTTACTCTCAAATTTTTTGTTGTAGTAACATAATAATATTAATCAGATACATCAAATTCGCAAATCCCCAACAGCAGTTGAAAGAGACTTTTACTAAACAATTATTGTATAAGACTGGTATTAACATAAAGTAGAGCGAAAAGAAGGGAAAGGATAAAGCGTTAGTCTGGTCAAAAAGAAGTAGAAATGATATTGGCTTGTATTACTGCAATAAGTTGCGATAAAAAAGACAATAAGTTATGGGCCGTGGAATTCTGGAAGGAAATGCTGTCCGACTGCGTGGAATACTTTTTAGTTTTGGTTGGTAGATGGATGCGTGGTGAAAATAGTAGATAATGAATAGACATCTAAAACAAACATTCTAATTCTGCAGTCGATCATTTTCAGTTTGAGTAAGGAAATCGGTACTGTATACTACCGTCTATAAATAATCATTAACCAGGTTGATTGTCATTGGTCCATCTTGTCTACCCCCTCGGAATCTATTACCTAATTTTTTCCGATAGCATTATTAATATTACGTAAACATTGAAAATAAAATGAAGTCTGTTTTGTGAGTATTACCGTTTTTTTTTGCTGTAAATTTGAGGTGTTAGATAGACATTACTTAGCAGGCAAAATGAAATTATTATTTAACGTAATTGTATAGACCAAAACATTTTAAATGCTAAACGCGTCTATGGCATTAAATATTAATATTTACTTTATTAGTATTCTATCGGTAATTACATATTATATGTATAACTAGAATATTATCTTTTCGGGGGCTGCGCCCCTGAGATTATTGTAGGTTGATAGTACATGTTGATATAAAGTTGTAGTCTGGTACTGTACTTGTGTTGTTTATGAAGTAGTTGTGGCGTGAAATGTCAGTGGTGTTTATAACATGATGTTTGTTTTTTTGAGATAAATAGTATTTATTATGATCTTGTACTTATAGTCGATTAGTTATTTGAGGTAGTCAGAAAATAGTATTTAAGTTTCCCCATCAGAACTAAATTCTGTTTAATATTGAGAAGATTCTTAGGTAAATAGTATATAAATTATGAGAAATATAATGATATTATTGTTTATTTACTTTTAGCTCTTCAGAAGGATTTAGCGTCAGTTTGGTAGATGCTAGATCGGAAAGCTTTTTTACTTTTGTGGATGAGCGTAGCTCTCGTTTGGTTGTATTTTTTTTCATTGCAGGTGGATCGTCTATTACTATTAGGTTGTCTTCGTCGGGTGTGCATTTTTCTGTTGATGACAATGTAGACGGATTTTTTTCGGATTTGATTTTTACTTGCGTAGGAGAGGGTGTGGGAGAGGTTTTCTGTCGCTTAGCA